TCTCCTGGCGTTGATAAAAAAAGCACAGAAAATCGCCGGATCAGAGCAGTCGATCACTAGAATTCTTCACCAGACAGCGGCTGAATTTGACGTAGCTCTGTAGCTAGTTGGAAAATCCTGCCAGTGTCAAGAATGAAACTCCCGGTCAGAGTCACCGATTCGCCTTACAGAGAATAGAATGCTAAAAGTAGTGTTTTTGGTTTGAAAATACTGAAACAAAATTTTCAGCGAAAAAAGAATATCCTCATGCTATCTTTTGGCTCAGATAATCTTGTATATTGGAGAGCGTTTAAATGTATCTTCCGAAACGTGTTGAAGAGCGAGGGCTTGAGTTTCAAAAGAGGTATCGCACTGTTCGCCTCGTGAGACGCGCGGCGCTCCTGCGGTGGTCGTTGCTTGTGCGCCGGGGCCGCCCGCCACCTGCGAATCGCCGCGCGCCCCTCGCGTCGTCGTCGCGTCCCGCGCGCTGCCTTTTACGGAACATTCCTCGCGCTGACCGCCGCGCGGGGCGGGGCGGGGCGAGGCGGGGCGGGGCCAAGCGGGCGCCGTGATTTGCACAAGGGGAGGCAGCGAGGGACGGAGCGGCCAACAGGGCTAAAACAACAACAGGTGGAGGAAGAGCTGGCGCGATCATCTCGCTGCTCCTTTTGCCTCCGTCGTAAATGCCTCCCGCCCGGCCGCCGCTCACCACTCGTCGCCCGTCCTCCCCTCCGCCTCCGGCCCGCCCACATGCACGCCCGTCCGCCTGCCCGTCCGCCTTTACTTCCACGTTCCACCCTGGTTCCGTCTCTCGAACTGCCCGTCCGATCGTCTGCCCGTCAGCGCCTTTGCCTCGCCTTTGCCTTCGTTACCATCTCAGCCGCCGTAATCGAGCTGTTTCGCTTCGAGGCTTTGTGTCCTGCTCGAGAGTCTTCCGAGCCAAGGCAAGTGGAATGGGATGTGGAAGGGAGCGGAAGCAGGGGTGACAGAAAGCCCAGAAAGCCTTGACCAGTGCGAGGTTAAATACTGAACGAGATTGTGTGGACGCGACGGGTTGGGGTCGGGCACCGAGTCTGAGACGGAGGGATGATGAACAGGGAGAGATGGCTCAGGCCATGAACTAACGTCACTGCAATCCGTCTCACCGGGAGGTTCTAAGTTCCAGTCCTGACGGTGGCAAAATTTTCGACCCTACCGTGTCAGCAAGGTCGAATTCCGTCGCTATCTGGAGGAGGATTCTAGAGGAAGGTGCTCTGATCACTAGTTCTCCTTGGTTTCTCTAATCAACACCAGCCGAATGCCGGAGCAGTACCGTACGAAAAGGGGCCACACACCGCACGTGATCTTTCCTACCTCTTGCGTGTCCTAATCTTTCCTCTTACACACCCTTACTCTAACATGCACTACACAAGCACATATGCTGGAGACACGTCGGGAGCTTAGGGCTCATCCCGGCTGGGGCGGGGCACATCTGGTTGAAGATACCTGGATAGGGAAAACACGCTAGCCTACGGTAGACCGGACCTCACCAAATAGCGACGAATCACCACCACCACCACCACCATCACTACCACAACAACATCATCATCATCCCAAGCGAATAACATGCTCTACATTTACGGGACTAATGATCCTAGTAGTTGACATGTCCAGAATCACTAAAACAAAGAGCGAATGACGGGGGCGGTGGAGAAGCTGGGGACGGAGGCGTCGTGAGACCTGGATCGATAATGAGGACTTGGTAAGGATCGGAGAAATCGCTCGGGTCGGAAGCAAATTCGAAATGTTTATGCGGGTAAAAGAGGTGATGATGGTGATGATGATTACGGATGGATGCACGGTGAAGCAATTTGTTTTTTCTACTTTGACCCCAGTGTCACGCCGGATTTGATATCCACTAGGGTTTCTCGTTTCCTTACATCAAGGCGCATCCCTCCACTCTGAATTGTAACCGAACTCAACGTTGGCCAATTTCGGTGGGAAAGCATTCGAATTGAATAACTGATAGAGTGAATATTACGTGCTAGTGTATAACGTGGGCTCGTAAAGCAAGCGTTGAAGGCCTCGCAGCCAACCGCGCCCTGGAGCATTGCGCCTGGCACAAGCAATAAACGCGCGCCAAAGGCGCTGTCGAGACGCCGCGGTCGCTTCGGGGCGCAGTATTACACGCCTCAGCGGGAATCGATCGGTTCTGCGGTACTACCTCTATGAAAAGTAATATTCGTCTTTAGCGGCTGCTACACCGCAGTGGTTAGAATTCCACTTCGCGCCGTGGACCACGTCCTGCAAAGGTGGCTCAGGCAATCAACTGAGGTCACTGCAGTGCCTCTGACCGGGAAATACGTACTAGGATTCGAGTATCGACCGTGGATGGATTTTCGATACCAACTCCGTAGCTACGTCAAATTTAGTCGTTGTCTGAAGGAGAATTCTAGCGGTCGGTTGCTCTGATCGGTAGTTTTCCATGTTTTCTCTGATTGACACAAGGTCAATGCCGGAGCATTACCTTAGGATTCCTGACACCAGATGCTTAAAATTTAATTGATTTGATTGTGTTATTAATTTTATCTGTGTTGTTATGTTTCTGTTTTGTCCACTTTAATAAAATATATTTCTTTCTTGCTTTTTATTTAATAACCCTTTATCTTTTAAAGCCGTGGTCCTGAAGAGTTAAATGTTTTGTCTCAATTTGAATGTAATTCGTCTGATTTTCAACGTGTTTGATCTCGATTTGAACGTGTTTGATCTCGATTTGAACGTGTTTGATCTCGATTTGAACGTGTTTGATGTCGATTTAAGTGTGTTTGGTTTCGATTTAAATATGTTTAGTCTTAATTTGAATGAGCTTGTACTCAACATGAAAGTGTTTGGAATTTTCCTTTGGAGATTAAAAGGCATAGAGGTAAAAGGATAATTGCTGTCGCAGGTCTCTTATTCCAGGTCGTTATTGTTTTGGAAGGAAAGTATTTGCTATTTGAAAGCTATTTGTGAAGGAAAGTTTTGCAACATATTTTTTCTGTTGCTGCTTCTTGGCTAGTATGTGAGAAAACTATATTGACTACTAAGACACAGTTCAAAACTATCTTTAGACAATAAATTATTGATCTACAAAACAATAATAATGCCTACATGGACCTATGACATCCAAATTAGGGGCATTGCAAACATTTTCCCATTCATTCCAACTCCATTTTACAGAGATTTCAATAGAAAATGATGAGAATGATTGCTACAGCACCTTGGTATATCTCAAGCACAATGCTACAGAGTGACTTAAAAGTACCGTCAGTCGTTGAGCGAATCAAAACAAGCTACTCTAGCTGTTTGGAAACCCTCCCAAATCCGTCATCCATTATCCTATTAGATAATAATGAAGAAATCAACTGATTACACAAACTTCAATATTTACAACTCCATTGTAGTTTTCAAAATTTGTCTAATTTTGAAATATATATATATATATATATATATATATATATATATATATATATATATATTCCTCGACTCCGAGTCCTAAACATATCACTGGGAAACCACAGGGATACGTTTCCCCATAAATTGTCATTGTCATTGTAAACTATCAGTAACATATTTACTAATTATTTTTATGTAAAATAGATTGTAAATTTACTTTCTTCAGAATTTTAAAATATCTGTTCTATGTAGCTTGAACTGAATTTTGTGCTCCTGATCCCCTCTTCTAAAGTACCTGGGTCTACCGAGTCGTATGTGTCTTTGTAAAGAGCAGATAGTGTTGCCTTAACCAAAGAGACTTTTCTGGAGACTCCCATTTTACTTTCTTCCTGTTGCCTGCTAAAATAGAAGTATTAGTACTAGTAAAATACGGAAAGGACCTTACACAACATCAGCCCGCCTTCTTTCCCAATCACATTATTCACCTCTATTACTTCACTTGCCTCGAAACCTCAGCCATCATCTACATGTGAATTATACTGTCTCCAAGGCAAATATTGTCTGGTAATATTGGTATTGTGGTGAGTTTTCGATGGCATTTCCAATGAAATAATTATATGAGTCGTCATTGCTAACAATATTACTCATTAAACTAGCAGCTTATTATTTATTAAAATAGCAGGTATTTAATAAATAATATTGTTGTCAATGACGACTCATATAATTATTTGATTGTCTGGTAATCTAAGAATCGGCTGAGATGGCTCAGCTGTCACTACAGCGTCGCTGGTTGCGAGGTCTTTCGGTTTGAGTGTCGTCGGTAGAGAATTTTGGACGCAAGCTAGATTAAATTCAGCGTCTGCCTAGGGGAGAATTCTGGCTGTCGGCTGCTCTGGACGGTAGTTTTCCGTGCTTTTATCTGAGCAATACCTGCGATCATTCCTTCCCCATTGCCATTAATTAATTAGCTTAAGGATTAATTAGCATTGCAGTTGACGCACACCAAAACAACGCAAAGTAATCAATTACACAAACGTGTCAGTTACGGCATCGTAGCCGATGGGGAAAAGTTTCAGTGAAAATAGCTCTAGTAACGTGCAATGAGACCGCAACGATCACCCCTCGTGAAGACATGACGGGCCGTCGCTTCCGCATTGTTTGGGGGCAGCGGCGGGCCGTCGCGCACCGATCGCTTCGGCAGCGCCGTCGACCAGGCCTCGCCCCCTCCCCGGCACCGTGAAGGGAACACTGACGCGGCGGAGGGAGAGAGAGAGAGCGGGCGCAGGGGCTTGTTTACATGTAAATTGCGCGAGCGAGCGCCGACGGCGCACGCGGCCCACCCGAGAGGTGTCGCCCCGCCCCCGGCCCCCGCCTCGCAGCGAACCGTAGCTGCCGCTGGAGCGCGTCGTGTGTTCCGCGCGAGCTCACGGTCGCCGCCCGCCCGCCGCCCAATTAGCGCGGCAGGTACGCGGCGTTGCACCGGCTTGGGGAGAGGGGCGCCGGCGGTCGGTGTGTGGACGAAGGAGACGGAAGTGATAGTGAAGAGAGGCACACCGGAATGCTGTGTTGCATGATGTGAGTGAGAATCATGTGGTGGGTTGTAGGGGATGTCGCGCGGGAAGGACTATGGCGCTGGAGTAAGTAAGAGCGATTATTATGGAGGAGAAGAATTGAAAGGTTTGAACTGGTGGGCGAGTGAGTGAAGGGAGAGGTAAAGGAGGTGTAACGTAGTGGGAAGACGGGAAATGATAGGCGAGAGACGGGGAAATGTGCCGAAGAGAGGCGGGGTGGGGAGGGACGTGGCGGGAGAGACGTGATGAGGAAGGGCATTTTGCGGAATGTGACGTCCAGGGACGTGCTGACGAGCAACATGTCAGCAAGACATGGCGGGAGGGATGTGACGGGAGGCATGTGGCGGCAGGGACGTGACGGGAAGGACGTGGCGGGAGAAATGCGACGGTAATGACGTGGCGAGAGGAACGTGGCGAGAGGGACGTGGTGAGTGGGACGTGTCGAAAGGAACGTGGCGAGTGGGACGTGTTAAGAGGGACGTGGCAAGAGAGACATGACGAGAGGGACGTAGCGAGAGGCACACGTGACGGGAGGGACATTTAAGGGACTTCCGGTATTTCCGGTATATTTCTGGTCCGAGGATCTTTAATTATATCTATATAAAGTTTATCCGCAAAAATGGTGCATGATTAATAATTAGATGTAATTTTATACCGAACAAAATTTAATTTAGGCTATCGAGTATGTTGTGCTTCCAAAGATAATACATAGTCAGTAACGTCTTCTTGATAGAGCATGTGTTCAAAGCTCGAAACAATTTTTAAAGTGAATAGAAATTGTTGAATTTGTTTATTAATCTAAAAATGACAATTACATGTGTGTTAGTTGTAAAAAATTCGCCAAATATCTTATGAAAGTGCCTCTGATCGCGAAAATTATATTCGAAGATATCAGATCTTTCGTAATAAGATGTCATCTATACACGCAGATTCTATGGGGAGGCCAGTGCATGCAAACTGGAGTGCAAGTGGTTATGTGAATCTATTATTAATGAAATTTAAGATGGAATAATTTAAATGCAGAGTTTTGAATATAGTACCAGTCAAAGACCCAAATTATACCACAAAAAAGTGCTCACAATCACAATAACGATCACAATCGGTTGATTGATTAGTGATTCCGGGAGCGTCAACTGCAAAGGTCATGAGTCCTGTAAGTGTAGCGCATGATGTATTGTGAGCAGTGGTGGTGATATTCCCCTGTAGGATGGCGAGATACGTCGGCTGAGGGGAATTTTCCCCAACCAGATATCTCTCACCAGCATGGCACCGTCCCAGTCGGGAGAAGCTGTGCTTTCTACAGGTCTCCCGACAAATGCGGTAGGGCAGTGCATCTGAGTGTGTTTGTGATGGGTGAGGATATGACGACGACGACGACGAAGAAGAAGAAGAAGAAGAAGAAGAAGAAGAAGGAAATATCGCGCGTGGCCCATGGCCCCGTTTTTAGAGTACTGCTTCGGCATTCACCTGGTGATGATGGAAGCCACAACGGAAAACTACCGATCAGAGAAGCCGGTCGCTGGAATTCATCTTCAAACAGCGGCTGAATTCGACCTCCCTAACTAGGTAGTCTTGAACATCCTGCTACTGTCGGGACTGGCATGTGAGGGGCACTGCAGTGTCATCAGTCGATGCCCTGAGCCACCTAAGCCGGTGGAATGAATCCAGGGAGACAGAATAAGCTGAGATCGTATCCCATAAAAGAAGGCCCGGTAATTAGCGCGAGATGCAGAAGAGGAGCTCAAATATTTTATTAAATAGCAGTAAAATCTTCCCGCAGGCTCATTGCACTTAAGAATGTTATTACTCTGATGCCCCCATTCTGCTTCTCGTCCGCCTCTCCGGAGAGCTGCTGCCGGCCGTACTGTTCTTCGAGCTCGTTCGCTCTCGCGCCGCAAGAGGGCGAAGTGGCGCTGTAACGGCCACGGATCTCCCCCTTCCTTTTCCTCCTCCGCCCCCCCCCCCCACCCACACCACTGCCAGCCACACTTCGCGCAGTGGGACGAAATTACACTAAAAGCGCACTCAGTATTTCCCGTAATAACTTAGTAATAATAGATGTACAAATTGTCGAACTTTCAGAAAAGTAAAGTTTAAATTTAAGTAATATTATATTAGTCCCTTAGATTTTCAGAAAAGTTTTAGACAACTTTAAGGAGTCCATATTGATACAGAATTATCCATTATCCAGAATTATCCAGAAAAAAAACGTTGGAATAGTGTAACTTTATTTTCAAGTACGTTTCGTGAACAGGTGTGCTCCCTACATTACATATTTACAATTAATATTAGCTATAATGTGTAGTTCGATGTAGTGCCTTATATAATGCTGTTTTGCTGTGAGGTTCAGTGGTTTTTAAAGAAACAATTTTAAATTTGTAATTGATTATTATGTGCATTACTTTATGTGTCATTTTATGTATCATTGATTTCTTTAAGTCATTTAATTGAGTACGAATCTGCAAATAAACACTTTTTTCATCCAAATAAAAAAATGGAAACACTCAGATACATCACATTTATGAACTATCCTAAAATGTCAACAAAAATATTTTTGAAAAAAGAAAGTAATGAGAACACAAGAGTATCAAGCTACTAATATAAAAATACAATAAAATCTAATATCAAACAAGAGCCAGGACATCAGAGTGAATGAAGAAATTAAATATATGATTAAATTGAAATGCAAGACTGTTTTATAACATAAATTACTAATTTCCTTCATAATGTTGACAAATTTTTTGCAGTAAAAGGGCCAAGAATGTTATGTAAAGTATATGTGTATATGTGTTAATCATTCTGTACAAAGTACTCAATCAATACCACAAGACTTCCCCCAATTGCATGTAAATTTATGAGCCACTGCGGTACATTAGGAAGCAAAAGTTGACGTAGGTTCTGCATTATCCAGGACCTGAAATTGGGAAAAGACACGCGTTGCACAGACATAAAATAAAAGTTTGTAAATTAAAACACGCAGATTCTTATAAATAAGATGAAATATTTCCACAGGCATGCGCAATATAAAGCGAGGGAGCCAACATTTTTATCCTAAAAATCCAGCCAGATTTTTATCCTTTTAAAATCTTTATTTATATATAAAATTTTACTTTAAATACAATTTTCAGTCATTTTTTTTAAGTTTTAAAAAGTATTTTTTGGGCGGTTGTTGAAAGAAATGTCTCCGACGTGGCCTAATTTCCACATAATAATTTTATTTACCTTTCAGTATTTTAGATATTTTCGAGCGTTTCATGACTTTTGATGCATTTTTAGGGATTTCTGTTGGGAGTTCTAACCAAATTGGCATTTCAGGAGTAGATTCGTATATTCTACGTTTTTGCCTTCAAAATGTACTTTTTTGTTGTTGCGATTTTGGGAATTTGTGTAAATGTTTGTGTAGTTTTGAAAATTTTAGAAATTTCCAAAAACCATTAAAAATGTATTTATTGAAAAATAGAGAGTCAAAGAGTTAATGGCCATAGAACAAGAGTTGACTTTTACACTTAAGTAAAACGCCATACGGTTTCAAATTTTTAAGCCACTGGGCAATAATAGCTACTGAAACATACGAAAGTCACTGAAACACACGAGTTACCTCATATGTACGAGATGACTGACTGACAGCATTACTTCCTGAAACACATCGTAGATAAAGTACCAATATACTGGTTGACTAATACATCCATGTGTTAGTCTTCACTATAGGTTTTGAAATGCAACTATGCGTTCTAATGCTATTTTTTGACGGCCTTAATGTATTTCCGGAAATAACATGTTTTATTACGTGAGCCTGAGGGGTAATCGTGGGAGGGGACGCAATAGCTCGAGTGATTTGCGCGCCCTTCGTGGCATTCGGGCCCAACGTGCAGCGCTGCGCTGGGCGCGCCCCGCTCCTCCAAAGGGCCGCGTAGCCTTTTACGCCACCCGCAAGAGAGCGCTCGCGCGGGGGGGGGGGCGGCCCGCCGAGGGGCGCCATTTTCGCAAGCGGATCGCACGCCAACCAAGGCGACGGGATCGCTCCGGAACACTATTAACACGCCCTGCCAGCGCCTTCGCGTTCGGGCTATCCCGTCGACGCCTGAACTCTACCCTCTCTCCACGCACGCCCCGCCCTCATCCACGCTCTCGCTCTCCTCCGTCCCACCTCGGCCCGTCGCTCCAACTTGGTCCCTTCCTCATCGCCTCTCCTCGTCCTGCTCTCGCCTTCCTCACGCTTCTCCTATCCGCCTCCAAACGCCTCCCACCGGGCCTTCTCACGTTCCGTTCATTTCCTCTCTCCGCCTCCTCTGCCTCTTCCTCTCGAGTTCCCTCCCGCCCTCCCTTCTGCCCTCCGCTCTTGCCCTCCGTCTCTGGCACCCTCTGCGCCCCTTCCTCTCGTCCTCTCTCGCCCTCCTCTCGGCCCTCCTCTCGCCTCCCTCTCGCCTCCCTCTGCCCTCCCTCTCGCCTCCCTGCTCGCCCTCCCTCTCCGGCCTCCCTCTCGCCCTCCCCTCGCCCTCCCTCTCGGGCCTCCCTCTCGCCCCTCTCGCCCTCCCTCTCGCCCACTCCTCTCCGCCCACCCTCTTGCCTTCGCCCTGCGCTTCCCCCATGCTGTCCCTTTGTTCTTACCATTGCCCCATTTGCTCCCCTCACGTCAGTGTGCTCTCGCCCTCGACCACGTCCTCTTCCTTGCCCTTGCACCACTCCTGATTTCAGCCTTTCTTCTCTCCTTATCCTTGAGACCCTCCCCACCCCATCATTGTATGCGCCTCCCTCCCGACTTGCCCTTTTGCCATTTAAAGACCTCACCTTGCAAAACGATGAAACTTCCGCGCTTAGGTAAAGATTGGTAAAATATGTGTCTGTTCGTGCGCGGGCCTAGGCTGTGCCTCATACGCCGTCTGGTCTAAGTTTTTCGGAACATTTTCAACGGTTGCCGGGCCGCGACAGGAAGCGCTAACTTTCAGTGTGCGGATGGCGGTACCATACGTAGTTTAGAGATGGGCGATTGCTTTCTCAGGCGCGTCAACTATGTAGATCCTTAGTCACGTACGTGTAGTGCATGCTATTATCCCTTGAGGCCTCTGGATCGTGAATTGCAGCGCCAAACTACCTGCCCTAGGTGGCAGTACGCGAGTGTGTGAA